GAGACCTGTCCAGGGTGTCCCTGTGATGGACTGGAGACCTGTCCAGGATGTCCTCTGCCTCTAACACAGTGACTGCTGGATATGGGCACCAGTGACCCAGAAAGGAAGAAGCAGGTAAAGATGATGGATGGATGGTTTACATGGAGGGGCGGGACTTAAACTAATACTTCAGGTCACCACGAAGAGGCGCTCTTCCCTTCAACTTCCAGATTTCGTTCCTGTCTCTAGTTTGAATATAAGTCGATGGTTTGAACTAGTCATCAGCTCGCCAGTTGTTACAGAATATTAGGTGTTCAGAACTTTTACACAAAATACTTATGCGTTTTGAATATCCCATTAAAAATCATTTTGACAACTTTAGGCATGTTGTGACGTCACCACAACAACCTATGCTCAGTTCTGAACCCCTCCTGGTTCAACACCTGTAGTTTCCGGTCTCTCCCTTTCATCAGTTTGTTGTCTCACGTGGAGGTGCCTCCTAACCACGGGCTTATATGGCTCACCCCAGGACCACAGGGAGGAGAAACCGTTCGTTTTTAACCATCATGTCCCTGTCAACTGGACCCAGCCCGACAGATGCTCTGCTGCTTTACTTTGCCTCGTGAATGTTTCTCATGCGGTATAACTTCCGTTTGTCCTGACGTGTGTGACTTGGGTCAATAAAAGCGTGTGAACACACCGTGTCTCCCTCTGGTCTCTGCTTTACACACAAATTTTTTTATTTTTTTTATTTTTTTATTTTTTTTATTACAAAACTTTATCAATTTTACAAACAACTGCCTGCCAGGGGTATATTAGCAGGTACAAAAGTATAGAATTAACAATTTGGTTATAAAATGGTACAAAGGGTAACAAATTCTAAAGATACAACACGATATATTTACGTTATACTGATAAATTCACATTAAGTTTTTCTAGAACTGAGATGGTTTCATTGCCTTTTTGTTTTCAAGTCCTTTAACAGTGCTGCTGTATCAGTAAAGTTCTGCTTAAGTAGGTTATGTTTGACTTGGAGTTTGACCACTTTTTCTTGTGAATGTGGAATTTTCCCAGGAGAAGTAGAAGTTCAGAGTCAGAGTCAGAGATTCTTTATTGTCATTCGCACCTCATGTGGTACATGTGATGGAGCGAAATTATGTACACAGGGTCCCAGTTACATCCAAGAATAAAATGTAAAAGAAAAACAGTAATAACATCTAAGATATGAACTAAAAAAAACATCAACTAAATATACACTAAGCACTCATAACATAAAAACATTGAACATCAGCACAAACATGAACATGAGTCTGTGTGAGCGGATGTGCACGCATGAACACATCAACATTGAAACAGATGGTTGAAATAGATCAAGTCTTTGTCCATATCCTTATTGTCCAAGCATAAAATAATGTCTTTCTCTGTAAGTTGAATTATTTGTCCAGTTTTCTGTTGTATGAGTTGTTGTACATGTGTCCAGAACGTCCTTGTGTGATTACAGTGATAGAATAAATGAGAAATTGTTTCCATGTGTAGTTCACAAAACGCACCATCCATCCATCCCACTTGGGCCAGCTCTTCCGGGGGAATCCCAAGGCGTTCTCAGGCCAGCCGAGAAACATAGTCCCTCCAGCGTGTCCTGGGTCTTCCTCTGGGCCTCCTTCCGGTGGGACGTGTCCGGAACACCTCACCAGGGAGGCGTCCAGAAGGCATCCTAAACAGATGCCCAAGCCACCCCAACTGGCTCCTCTCGACGTGGAGAAGCAGCGGCTCTACTCTGAGTCCCTCCCGGATGATCGAGCTTCTCACCCTATCTCTAAGGGAGAGCCCAGACACCCTGCGGAGAAAACTCATTTCGGCCGCTTGTATCCGAGATCTCATTCTTTCGGTCACAACCCAAAGCTATGACCATAGATGAGGGTAAGAACGTAGATCGATTGGTAAATTGAGAGCTTCGCCTTTTGACTCAGCTCTCTCTTCACCACGACAGACCTGTACAGCCCCTGCTTCACTGCAGACGCTGCACCTATCTGCCTATCGATCTCACGCTCCATTTTTCCCTCATTCGTGAACAAGACCCCAAGATACTTGAACTCCTCCACTTGGGGTAGGACCTCCTCCCTGACCTGGAGAGGGAACTCTACCCTTTTCCGGCTCAAGACCATGGCCTCGGATTTGGAGGAACTGATCTTCATCCCGGCCGCGTTGCATTCGGCTGCGAACCGCTCCAGCGAAAGCTGTAGATCACGATCTGATGAAGCCAATAAGACCACATCATCTGCAAAAAGCAAAGACGCAATCCTAAGGCCACCAAAATGGATCCCCTCAACACCTTGGCTGCGCCTAGAAATTCTGTCCATAAAAGTTATGAACAGAATTAGTGACAAAGGGCAACCTTGGCGGAGTCCAACTCTCACTGGGAACAAGCCCGACTTACTGCCGGCGATGCGGACCAGGCTCTGACACTGGTCATACAGGGACCTAACAGCCCGTATCAAAGGGCCCGGTACCCCATACTCCCAGAGTACCACCCACAGGTTCCCCCGAGGGACAAGTCGAATGCCTTCTCCAAGTCCACAAAGCACATGCAGACCGGTTGGGCAAACTCCCACGCACCCTCCAGGACCCTGCTGAGAGTGTAGAGCTGGTCTAGTGTTCCACAGCCAGGACAAAAACCGCACTGCTCCTCCTGAATCCGAGGTTCGACTATCCGATGGACCCTCCTCTCCAGAACCCCCGAATAGACCTTACCAGGGAGGCTTAAGAGCGTGATTCCCCTGTAGTTGGAACACACTCTATGGTCCCCCTTTTTGAATAGGGGGACCACCACCCCGGTCTGCCAATCCAGGGGAACTGCCCCCGATGTCCACGCAATATTGCAGAGTCGCGTAAGCCAACACAACCCTACAACATCCAGAGCCTTAAGGAACTCCGGGCGAATCTCATCCACCCCCGGGGCCCTGCCACCGAGGAGCTTTTTAACCACCTCGGTGACCTCAGCACCAGAGATTGGAGGACCCGACCCAGAGTCCCCAGGCTCCGCTTCCTCAGTGGAAGACGTGCCGGTGGGATTGAGGAGGTCTTCAAATTATTCCGCCCACCGACCCACAACATCCCAAGTTGAGGTCAGCAGCACACCACTCCCACTATAAACAGTATTGGTGGCGTACCACTTTCCCCCCCGAGACGCCGGATGGTGGACCAGAATCGCCTCAAAGCCATGCAGAAGTCATTCTCCATGGCCTCTCCGAACTCCTCCCATGCCCGAGTTTTTGCCTCAGCGACCACCCGAGCCGCATGTCGCTTGGACTGCCGGTACCCATCAGCTGCTTCCGGGGTCCCACAGGTCAAAAAGGCC